TTTGACCTTTTATTTAAAAGGAAGTTAGTAGGAAAATTTAGTATAATATTTTTATCGAAAACAAAAGCTACCTAAAGTTCCTTCAACTCAAAATCAATTTATCAACCCAAAATCAAATATATGAATTTTGTTTAAAATCTTGTTTTGTATCCCACTCAAGCTAAGAATATGGCTAGAATATTCCTTTCAAGACTTGGGAAAATTTAGTATAATATTTTTATCGAAAACAAAAGCTACCTAAAGTTCCTTCAACTCAAAATCAATTTATCAACCCAAAATCAAATATATGAATTTTGTTTAAAATCTTGTTTTGTATCCCACTCAAGCTAAGAATATGGCTAGAACGTTCCTTTTAAGACTTGGACAATCCTCTTCCCTCAAGCAAGTATTGGACCACTTGAAAATCGCACTCAAATTTGATATATAAAAAAATATCAATTTAAATATGAACTTAATATCAATCAAATTTCAAGAAAATAATTCTTACGCGAATTCCATTAAAAATTGATAATGTGGAATTCAATATATTAATCATATAATTTTCGCTATTATCATTTAATATAACAACAATGATTTTGACAAAAAAACAAAAAAAAATCTCACTTCTGGTGGTACTCAAAGGATCAAACATAATATTATTTTCCCACTTTCGGTGAGAAAAATATTCTTTTATTTCATTGTTGCACAATTAACTCACTTCTGGTGAGAAAATATTTCTTTATTGCATTGTTACACAATTAACTCACTTCTGGAGAGAAAATATTCCTTTATTGCATTGTTGCACAATTATCTCACTTCCGGTGAGAAAATTAAAAATTCAAAAAAAAATTTACATTTGACAATGTCTTCAGGATCATTGCAAAATTGTTACATATACAAATACATAACATTCACAGAAAAATTATACAATTTCACAAAAAAAAAACTCTTTAATTAAAAATTCAATTTTTAATCGATCTCTTTATCCGTATAATCAATTAAACCAAATTGAAGCAAAAAAAAAAAAAATTGACCAACGCATTCAAATACACGTATTATCAATGAAGAGAGAGAAAAAAATTGCAACAATACACTTTAGAACCCTATAACCTAATAACAACGGCGGCTCTGATACCACTTGTTGGGATAAAATTTCTTAAGCCAAATAGAAATTTTCCATTAATCAATATTAAGAACCGTTGTCTCAGATTACAGAGTTAATGTTAATAATACGTACCTGTATCCATTGACGTTGATCAAAAGGTTGCAGCGGAATAGTCTTTTGGTGCAATGATCTTCTTCAGCCAAATCACTGGATTCCTTGATGGGACTTGATGTTACTCTTCTGATGGGGAGACAGAGAGACGTGTGTTTCTGATTTGGCATATTGGGGACCATGACCATCTTTATGATTTTAAACCTATTAGGGTTCCCATTAACCCCTAACGGGCCAAATTTGGTTTCTACTTATATGGGCCCATATCAGTTTTTCCTGTTGGCAGTTTAAAGACTCACTAAAATTAGATCACTTTTATTGAGCCCAACTAAATGTAAATAACTAATATAAATACTACAAATAATATATGCAGCCCATAATAATTATTAGAAATAAAATTTCTAACACTCTATTCTCATAACTCTCCGTGAAAATCAAATTTTTGAAAGAATTGTCTCTGGGTTCTGGTGTTTATGGAGGAGAGGAGTGAAAAATTGTGGAAGAGTTTACTGGAGTCGGTTTGTGTCGCATTTCAATTAACATCTTAACATATTTTTTTATTGGAAGTGGTTTCAAGCAAAACATGCACCACCTGCAACCATTACACTGTGTGCTCCGAAGTTTGAATATGGTATAATTAATTTTCAATCGATGTGAATTTGTAGAATTGATTTTGAATAAATATGAGTTCAAATTAATATGATTATTGTTTGAGTGATAAAAGATATGAATTTGATTTTTATATTAAATGTTGTTTAGAAACTTGTTATCAAATTTGATTTTAAATGTATAATTATAAATTTGAATAGAAAAAAATTCATAATTAATTTTGTTTGTTGGAGAAATTACTAATAGTTGTTTTCAAGTTCCAAATAGATGTGAATTTTCACATTTGAAAACTAATTCTACTAATAATCATAAATGTTACTAGTGATTCTAATCATTTTAGGTATACTCAAATTAATTATGGTCATATTTGATGTGAAATCAAACATCATAAACCATGTTAAATGAATCAAATCACATGAAAGTTTCATAAAATGCAACACAATCATTTTTAATAATATGAGATCATAATGTTAACTTTATTACTATTAAATGTATGTTTGAATACTAATTTAAAATCACATTCAACATAAAAACACGTGTTCTGATAAAAAATATAAAAGAAAAGCTAACATTTTTTTTTATCGACTCTTAATTGAGTTGAATTCAAGTGGTCTCATACACACTTCAATCACTTAGGTTTTATTTTATGGAATATCATCTCCTCAACAAGCTAAAGTAATAGCTTTCCTTACGACAATCAAATGAGTCCAAATAAACAACTCAGATAGTACTATCTATCCTCTTTGAATTCGATTGCAAATAGATTGTTGACCGCATGCATGCAAAGGAGCACATGAATAACGAGTTTGACACTATCATAAATATTTGACAAAATATTTTCACATTTCAAAACTGTAAAATTTAGTTTGTCGGCCAACAAGAATATCAATCCACTCATTTTTAGCATGAGAGTCTAGATTTTATGCTAGTTCAAATATATTTAATTTGATTCCAAATTAATTGTATTGTTTCTTATTTTAAATGTTATAATATGATGAATTTCCTGTAAAAATAAACATTTATCGCTTATGCTTAGTGTTGAGTTTGACTGTTAGAAAATAAAAAGATGTATCTATCTTCATAATTAAGTATATATTTAAATATCAATTCAAAATCACTTTTAACTTAAAAATATTTATTTCAATAAATAAATAAATAAAAGGTGTAAGTAATTAAGAGCACCTCCAACGGGAGGTGCTTATGCTGTCCCTTAAAAATAAGCTCCAGTGCTTAGAAGCACTTCCCATTAGAGTAGTCCTAGCTGGCATAGAAAGTTGCTTATTTTTTAGCAACGGAGCTTTAACAAGCAACGTTGCTTAGCTCTTATTAACTGTATCAAATTTTATAAAATGTAGTGTGAGGTGTCAAAAAGTGTAGTATAAGTTATAAAAAGTAGGAGTGCTTATAAGCAATTTCCATTGGAACAAAAATTATAAAAATATAGTATGAGTTGCTTATGAGTGACATGACACAGTAAGACTCATTTAAAGTGATTAAGCAACTCCCATTATAGATGCTGACTTATTTTTGGACCTCATATGAGTGCATCCCATATTGAGCATCTGCCACTTGTGGTCCTGTCCTGTCACATTCTATCACTTCACCTGCTCCTTCATCCATCAAACAATTGGAGATCCTTTTTAATTTTATTTTGCATTTGCCTTTGTTTTTTTTTCTCCAAATTTTATTCATAAACTGTTACGTTGTACAAACTGCAATACGTATAACATACTAGTAGAGTAATCGGTAACCGTTGAACTTTAAACGTGGCTTAATAATAAATCACACACATGGGGAATTGAATGCTAAGATAACAGTTATTATTACACGACATGTTAGAAGGCATAAGGGTGGAAAAAAAGAAAAAGAAAAAGAAAGTTAAAAAAGAATAATGTTATTATTAATAATATTAAAAAAAAGAAGCGACGCGTGGCTTTTTGATGAGTGTAGCAGTCGCTTTACTAAACGAATGAAACCGGAAAATTGTTGTTTAGTGTGGAAATTATTTGTTTGTATTTTTATAATAAAATGAAAAAGTAAAGTTGCGTTGGGGTAGGTATGTTAATGCTATGTATATGAATATGATCTATGAGTGATGAAGAAATTGGTGATTCATTTGTTTCCCATTGGCATTGGTATGTTGTGTAAGTCTTCTTTTCCTTTTCCTTTTCCTTTTTCCCTTTCCGTCTTTGGAATTCAGTGAGGTTTCCGTTATGCATTAGATTCCTCAATCCGCAAACTTATATATGTATTTGCTTCTGCAAAAGATTTAGGTATCACTCACTGTTCACTCTCACCTCCTTAATTTCACTAATTACTAATTTTAATCCTACATATCTCTTTCCCTTCAGGATCTGGATTCATTCATTGCTTTTGCGAGGTAATTTTTTTTTTTTCAGGATCATCTTCGTTTTTCCCTTTTGTTTTAGTAATAATATTCTGTGGGTTAGATGTGGAATGTTAACTGAAACATTGATAGTGTAGGGCTTTGCAGCGAGTGTGTGTATGTT